TACCAGCCCGAGTTACGGTCTGACGAGAAAGCAATCCATTGGCCATCGGGAGACCACGAAGGGCGGAAGTAGCCATTAGGAAGAGAATCATCGGCGGCGGTCGAGGCAGTATCTGTGAGGTTCCATTTGTTTCCACTCTCCAGATCCATAACCCAGACGTTGGCCTTGTAGCCATTGGCAGTGGACACATAGGCGATTTGCTTGCCATTCGGAGACATGACAACTCCATCCTCCACCGAGGAGGTTGCTACCAACTCCTCGAGGTCAGACCCGTCTGTCCGGACGCGGTAGACATCCGAATTACCGTCGCCGTTCCGTTCTCCGGTAAAGGTGATCCATTCTCCGTCGGGGGAAAAGGTGCCATGGTATTCGTAGATAGGGTTGGAGAGGAGAGGACGTTCATCGGTGCCATCAGCATTGGCAACATACAGCTCTGATGTTCCAGGAGCAATGCGGTTCATATAAAAGATACCTTTCTTGTCGGACGGCGCCTTGCGCGGTGTGTGCACATGCGGCGAAGGTATGCTCTTCTTTTCCAGGCTCATCTGCTCTGCATATGGGCACAGGGCCAAAGCCGACGGCAAAGCAAGGCCTAGCAGGACAATTGAAGCAGTAAAACGCATGGTGAAAAGGGACGAGCGCACCACAGCGGTTCAATGTCCGGAACCCATTATTTTCTGGCACTGCAATACTTATATATAAAGAGTCTACAGGGGGGGGAAAGGCCTGAAGAACTGGTCGTTTCACTCCACGGTCATAGCGCGATTCTTTCCTCCGACAGGTCCACCTTCGCGTAATGAAGTCCGCATTATTAGCGGGCCTTCATCTTATCTGATGAAGCAAGCTAGCGATTGACCACTGAGAAGCTCTGCACAATATTGACCCTTCATTTGATTGGTCTTGTCGAATGAAGCTGCGAGTTGAGAGACTCGAAACAAGGCAATGATCGTCATGGCTTGAGATGGATGGAGAAAGTCTCTTCCGCTGGTTACCGGTAGAATTATTGTCGTACCTGCTTGGAACCCTGATAGACCCTGTCTGGACACGCGTAGTTTATCTGATGCGTCTAGATACATGTTGTATGCGGAGGGAGCGCGACCCTGCAGTTCTTATGCGCAACTATCAAATCCTGGATATGTCGAATAGGGCTCGGATATAGGAGCGAGAAACTGAGTGCCAAGTAAACTACGGAGGATGGATACCTCTGGTCTTGCATAATATCGTGCTAACCCAGGTAACTCCGCTTATTTTCTTTGTCAATATAAGCCACTGAAATTACAAGGTCGACGGTCGACGCAATTCCCCTTGGCAGCTACTACCATTAGTTTGGCACAGCAAAATATGCCCCTTTCCCTGTCGAACAGCGTAGTCTAATCCGTTGGACATGCTCGGAGTCCGAAGATCGGTCGGGACTACCGCATTAAGGGTTTGAAGTGTTGATCAAGGGTGGAGCAGTCTTCTTGCAGTCTTGGCGCTTTGTGTTTTCGATACCAATATGAAGTTGGTTGAGGCAAAGTACTTACAATATGGCTGTTGACAAGGTACTTGGATAAAATATAGTAAGGAATGCATTCTGACAAAATAAGAAGCCACTTCCAACATCCAATACCACAGCTATCTCTTATGTATTAGTATACAGGGCCAGGTGTCAAACACACTATGCTCTACCTAGGTAACAAAGTCGACTGATATATGAAGAAATGATGTTGACCAATTATTTTACTCCACTCGACACCGGGACGAAAGACTGTCATGACCCGGTGAACCCCCAAAACTAGAACAAAGAGTCTGAGAGTCTGCAATGATAACGCTCTTTCAGCACTAGCAGATAAACAGTATTCCCTTTCAGATCAGTGATAACTCTGGAGGGATTCTTCTTCGGTGCGACAACCCAAATCTTCAACTACGACCTCAGTGGTAAACCCTCATGCATTCACGTCTTGCACCGATTTGTGGTCAACGGTTTATCACAGGCGAGCGTTAACTTGCTAGTTCATCGCATGCTGAGTGCTGCCATCGGGATTGCTCTGCTTAGGCTGTGGGACAGATGGGTAAATCGGTCTATGACTGTAACTACTAACGACCTTTCTCAACTAGGTCATACCAACTCGACTTCTTCCCTCTCCTTTTTGAGATTAAGCGCCTGCCTGCCATTCCAGCAGGTTGTGGAGGACATTGAAGGTCTCTTTGGTGTTTGGTGACTAGCCTAACGGTCCTCATAAGAGTGAGAGTGAGTAGAAGTCAAGGCATTTGATAGAGTCGAGCGCAGGGATCGAGGAACGAAATTATCCATGGGGTTGCTTTCTATTCGTCGCCTATGCAATATTCCAAACACTGCTTGCTTGAGTTTCCGGCAGCTCCAAGCGTTGCGAAGAAGCTGTAGATTTGAATCGCAAGAGCTCACACCAGCTCGACCATAGGGCGAGAGCAATATGAGAGACCTTGAAACTTCTCCAGAGGTAAAGATGGATATGATGTGGAGATGCCCGGGCCGATCACCGAAATCTTGATATGATTGTTGGTAAAGATTGTTAGCGAGCTGTTTCGACTTGGTGCTGACCTGTCATTGATGTGTGTCTTCGGTTGCTATGGATATAAGACTGTCCCAGAAGAGGAAGTTCTTCAGGATACCATATGTCGTTTGAAGGAACGACATGGCGAAAAGCACCCTTGAATTGTGTAAGGAGATGAAGCTGAATGATGAACGGGATGGAAATGAAAACCAAGTATTTATATAATGACTGCAAGAGTTCCCTGCAATTTTCCAACCGAGCGTAGAGCGGCGATGAAATATAAAAGTATAGCTGCCCAGGAGTCAAAGGGATGAAGGAAGCAATGGCTGTTATTTTAGTTTTTACATGGATGCCCACAGCCCTTTGAGGGCCTGGAAAGTTAGGTTGTCAAAACATCAATCCTCACCTGAAATAGACAGATGCAATGAGCCATCTGAGAAATGATAGAGCGTCCTAGGTTCCAACGTTCTGGGAAGCTCAAACAATTTATAGCGTAAAGGACGCGTAGATCGTAACGACCGGCCTTGGAATCATGTCATTCGTTATGGCCAAGTATATAGACTCCTCTTCTAGCGCCATACAGACTCATCAAGAAACATTTGCAGACTACGTGCAAGCAAGGCTGAAACCCCGGCCGAAACAGGCCAGTAAGAAAAAGAATGACATTGTATCTTCATCCAAAAGTACAAACGACTATAGAAACCAATCTATCCAAGCCAAGTTGCTTCATACCGCACTGTAACCACCCCGCGAGCCCGCTCCTTGCAGAGTATTGACCACACGACGGAGCCAGTCCTGGAAGAGGTAGGGGATATCACGGATGGTGTCGCCGTGAGGGAGGAGGTCCCAGCCACGGGCGCCGTAACGGTTGTAGTTGAGCCAGGAGCCGAAGATGAGGTAGGCAGCGATACAGAGGAAGGCACTGAATAGATTAATTAGCATGGCGGAACAAGAAAATGAAGCTCCTATGAACTAAGAAAAACTCACATGATGATCAACCAGGTAAAGAAACCCCAGCTCTTAGAGCCAGGGGTATCGCCTTTCTCCTTCTCGTATTCGTCGCAGGCATACTTTGTGCGCCAATCCAGTCTCAGGATGTAGGTATCATCGTCTGACGGACCAAAGCTCTTGAACTGCAGACTACTGCTGCTGTTGCCTGACGGCACACCACCTTCCTCGCCGTCCGCTCTCCGTCGTCGCTCCTTCGCTTCCAACCCCTCTTCAAGTGTATGCAGGCCCTCCAGTCCAGATCGCTCGTGGTCGCACTGGAACTCAATGACAGCGCCTGCCTTCTTGGGCTTTTGGTCATTGGCATCTCCCTTGTATGAGCCGCCTTCCAGCTTGACGCGCAGGCCCTCGGTCTCCGGGTCGAGATCCTTCAATCGCTTCAGTTCTGGGTTCTTCGAGCCTTGGCCAACGGGGTCGAGGCCGACGATCGGGAAACCAAATGTAGAGCCGCCATTTCCGTCCTTCGCCGTTCGGTGCACGAATCCGCAAACTAAAAGAACACATCAATTAGCGTGATCAACCCCAAGCAGAAGACCACCTCAACATGGTCGCGTCATTTCGGCCTGGAACGTACCGTTCTTGCTAGTTCCGCACGTCGCATCGCCGTACCGGGCAGAGCCCCCGAGAATATTGCAAATATTCAATCGGTAGGTTGTGTTCGTCACGTAGTCATCTGTCGTCACGGTGTGGCTCAGCTCGTGGACGCCTTTTAGGGGACTGAGATCGTATTTGTAATTGTCAAGCTTGATGTGCGCGCAGTCGAAGCCGGACGCGGATGCCAGGCTTGATAGGAGGGTGGAGAGGAGGAGTGAAACTCCGTTTGATTGTATTCGCATTTTGATCAATGTGGCGCTGGCTGGGTCCCGAAGGGTAGGGTGGAAGGACGGATGAAAGCTGGGATGAGGGTTTCGCGCGGGATGGAGCTCGATAGCTCAGGTGGAGATGGTCACGAGGACAGGTTTACACAGACAAGTGTGACCAGAGAAGTTAAATCGAAATTGGAAAGATCTGGTTATTGGGTTCGAGGGTCCCTGTGGAGGTTGAAAAGTGACGATGACGGGGTTGCTCCTGCGGAGGTGTTTCGTTTCTCCGGTGGCGGTGTTTTGGCACTAAAAGGTGATGCCTACACCCAACTCGGAATGAAGATGCCTCGAAGTGCTTAAAATTAGTTCGGGAATTTTGATGACTTTTACCAAAAAGCTCTTTTTATACCTAGGTATTCTTTAGAGAAAGTAACAGCTAGTATGATGTCACCCAAGTACCCGATGGCCTACCCAACCCATATATGGATGTTAAAGAAGATAGGAACAAAATAAAAGGATAGATATATCCGAGGAAGAGGCAGAAATAAGACCCGATAATACTCTTCATACTCTTCACCCTATATATATTAGCGTATAGATCCTATCCTTATAAATATCAACCCTCATCCAGCTCATCGCGCACGGACCACCCACTCAAACCCGATATCAAACGTCCATGGGCGCAAGCCAGCCAACCCGCAACGAGGACAAAAGCCAAAACTCATACACAAAAGAACAGACAAGCCCCCAAAGACAACCCGAATATCTCCCCCGTCAGACCGCCAAAATGGTGCAGCCGCGTATGGTAAGCCAACCCCCCACCAAGCTCAAGCGCGACCAAACCCCGCCAAAGCCCACTCAAGCTAACCGGACCAACGCGCAGCTCACAAAAGCGGACGAGGCATCAGCCAATGACGAGAATGAAGTCCGTCGCGAGGACCAGGAGAAGATTAACCGGTTCAGTCGATTGCATCAGCGCGAGACTGTGCTCCAGGAGCAGTTGAAGGGGAAGCAGGTATGGAGTTTTGAAGATCTTGTTTTCTGCTATGTATTGGATCTCTTTCTAACCGGTTTATAGAAGGATAAGGAGGATTTGGAAGAGGTTTCGATGGAGTTGGAGCTTGCTGATGAAGATGAGCTTGTGCCGTAAGGAATACTCTCTTTCCATCTGGTTTTTCTTTTCCTTTTTGATATGTATTCTGGCTCTCCTCTGCCATTCTGTTTGAGGAAGATTGCGAAGGAACTGAAAAATCAAAGAGCGAGAAAAGAAAAGTAGCCATCACTAACAACCCCCCCAGTTACAAAATCGGCGACTCCTTCTTCCAACTACCGCTATCAGACGCGCAGGGAATGCTCTCCACCTCAACAGAGAAGATCGACGCAGATGTCTCCAAGTTGGAGGACTCGCTTGGCGAGCTGCGTGAGGAAATGCAGCAGCTGAAGGTTGCGCTGTATGCGCGGTTTGGTCGGAGCATTAACCTGGAGACTTGATTGGGATGAATTGGATGTATTACCACTCTTATTTTTTGGTCTCGTGGGGCTTGTTTCTCATTCCTTTCTATTGTCTATGTGAAAAACGGGGATCGAGGTTTGACCACTTTTAATTGTCTAGATTAAATACACGGAATGGATGGACTTGATAGGTTAGATGGTATCTGCTTTGTACCTACATACATACTCATAATCATATATAAGTACTTAGGTACAGAGGTATAAATTTGTAGATAAAAGTTGGATATTATAAGTCAGATGAGGACCACAGCTCGTCAATATCATTCAAACAAAACATAGTCAAGAGGTATCTAGGAGGGCGAGAAAGAAGAAGAAAAGAGACAAGAAAAGAGAGAAGAAAAGATAAAAACACCAACAGGAACCGCCAAAACAAGTAGGCAAAACAAATGGCTCCACAAACCTGTGGCATATATTTAAGAACGGCACAGGGTTTCAAGAATCATAGATAACGCCTATTCGCCGCAGTGATGTCCAGTCATCCAGTAAGGGGTATTTGACCAGTTCACCGATTCACCAATGTGAAGGAAATTCAATCAATAAAACTTGAGTCATGGCGACACTTCTAGCCGATGATGTCGTGGGCCTCGGGAGGAATGTATATACGGCGCGCGTATTTGTGTGTTCTTATGTCTTTCCTGTATGCAATAGTTCGTAGATCACCGGAACTTGGCACGGCAGCGGCCCATGATCTCGTTTTGGCAGACTAGTTCGGCGCTGAATTCACTGCCGTCTAGCGTGAGGTAGATATCGAAGTAGACACGGTAGAAGATACCCTGAGGTGTGTCCATGCGCTCAAAGTCGGTCTCGAGGTTCTTGCGCGACAGATCGGATGTGAGTGTGACGACTTCTTTGATGCCTAAGGAAAGTATTAGTAATTTGTGGAAGGAAAATAGAATCGTCCAACTTACGTGGATCCTTGGTGTACTCGGGGCAGACATCCTCGTCACAGGCATAGAGCACATCCTCGTACATGAGGGTGGCGCCAGGTGCAACTTGACGGAAGAAGCTGACCTTGACTGGTTCGCCGATTCTGACACGCTCTCCCTTCTGGACGAAGATCTGACGGGTGTACTTGCATCGATCGCGGCCATCCAAACTAGGCACGCGGTACTGCTCCGGGTGATAACCTTCCTTGAACGGCTGAAGCGTTGCCATAAGGTAGTGTCGACGTGCTACACGGTGCGTGATGACCCGCTCTGTGATACCTGCAGTGACTGCACCCTTGACGATGGCAGCCACAGAGTCCATCGGGCGGACCACCTTTGTCTGATACTGTGGTGGCACGTGGAGCTTGATCTGCTGGAAGAGGTATTCTGAAGCACCAAATCCACCGACGACCAGGACGTTCTACAAATTGTTAGCTCTGCATTGAAGACTAGGCCGAGATGCTCTTACCTGGAGCAGACGGTTCTGTGCTTGAATAGCAATAATCTGGTTGCGGACCAACTCGAGGATACGGTTCACGACAGGCTCGAAGCACTGAAGGATCTCCTCGTTCATGAAGGTCATGTAGCCCTCCTCAATACCAGCATCGGGGAAGTCCGCCTCAATACCCACGTCCACCGCCCATTTTTGCCCGTTGTTGCGGAAGTCGGCCTTGATACGGTTCTCAAAGTCCATTATACACTTCGCGTAGACCTTGCCCGCAGTCCGAGAGCCATCCGGCAGCTTCATCTTACGGATCTTCGCGCGCAAGATGTTACTGAAATTCCGGTTCAGTGCTGTTGAACCACACGAGTCACCAGACCCGGCAGTACATTCCATCACACTGAAAGGCTGCTCTTCTTCAACCTCATATGCAATCAAATCCACAGTACCACCACCGCAATCCACAATCAAAATAGCGTCGCCCACCTTCAAGTTGAGCAGACCGCTCTTGGCACAGAACAAGGCCGCTGCCTCGGGCTCTGAGACCAGTGTGAGGCGGTTATCGTTCTCATCGCGCAAGAAGCCAGCTTGGATAGCAGCGGTCCGCGTCGCAGCCTTGCCGGCGTCGTTCCAAATAGCCGGTACCGTCAGGTAGTATCGGATATTGCGTTCTTCGCGCGTGAACACCTCTCCCAGAGCCTTTTGCAGCTGAGCGCGAATGGCTTGTCGTAGCTTGAAGAGGTAATCGGCAGCGACATCGATTTCGGACTTGCCCGGGGGGAGGGGAGGCAGGTTGATGGGGTCAATATAGGTGTTTCCGGAGAGCATCAGCTGGAGCTTGAACCACTCGACCTTCTGCACCTGGGGCTTGGGGTATCCGGTCGGGGCGAGAGCGTCGGCGATATCGGGGCCCCATCCTACCACCTTTTGGTATTGGTCGTAGTAGAGGACGGTGGGAATCTAGCACAGAAACCAGTTGTCAGACTCGCGCTTATGGAGTATATACTTATTAGTCATGCTCACCTTTTGTTTGGCATGGGTTCCGGCCCCAGGCCATTCCGTGATGATATCCTCGCTTGCCTGGTTGTTGGTCGCGAAAGCATATGCGACACCCGAGAAGGTCGTGCCGAAGTCAATACCGACAATCAGTTGGGCCTTGCTCCGACCGCCACCCTCGACCTCGACCGCAGGGTTGCGCCCTGGATACTGAGTATTAGACAGCGACGGTGCAACACTAGGAGCCATCTGCTGCTGCATGCCATAACCCGGTGGGCCATTTAAGGGAGCAGCATTTGGGTATTGGAGGTTGGTGGTGATGGGCGGGGGCTGTTGTTGACCGTGCGCCATTGGACTGGTTGGTCGGTTGTTTGTGTAACTCGGTGGTCGGCCTAACTGCTGAGGCTGCTGGGGCTGCTGAGGGTTCATTGGAAGACTTGTTGTTGATGAACTGTGACCGGATTGGGGTGGGGAGCTAGGGGTGGGAGGGACAATCGGGTTGGAATTAGGAAGAGGTTTTTTGTTCCTAAAGCCAAACGACTTAAATCGGGAACTCATGAGATCCATGTGAGGCGACAAAAAAGGGAAAAGGAGTAAGAAATGGGAAGGGGGGAAAAAGATGAAAGAGGGGGAAAGTGAGGCTGAGGTAAATTGTGGAGATCAAAGAAACAATGACACAACTGAATATCTTGTAACTAACTATACGAGTATTTAGGAAATTAGGCATTCACATATAGGAATTGAAGAAGGATGATTTAAATTCCCGAGGCTGCGAAAGTGCCCAGGTGGTTATATCCTATATTTAGATAGATGTGGTCCTATCTTGTTTATGCGTATATACTCCATATGATGGATATAAATCTCCAAATTATTTTATTATTTTGACATTCAATCTCGTTAAGCTTGGCGCCCAGCTCTCGGCGGGGTAGCACATGTTCTTCGTGAAATATGTAAACTACTCTATGTACATTGAGGTAGTATATAGATGTTTTCAAGTCGACCCTTTTTCGATACAATAATTTTCACGATCAGGCTCTTTCTTTGTTCTGAGTTTTGGCCCCCAAAGTTGAGAAAGGAAATTGGGAGAACACAGCCCTGCCCACCTGCGTCTCCGAGTTACAGGGGTTTGTCCGCTTTCCGACCAGCCCCCCTTTTAAACTGCGACTTTTCGCACCACCCAGTGAGAGGGCTGATAAAGATTTTGAAGCATGCTGTTTGGGTCCTGGATATAGCCGCAAGCCTTCCGCTCTCCACGCTTTTCCAGGCGGAAGCCCATGCGCTCCACAAGGCTCAGCACTTCTTCCTCAGATAACTCTACATTGCCTGGCTCGCCAATCCCGGCCTCGTATTCGGAACTACTTCCTCTACGAGAGTGACCGTCATCAAAATGCCATAGTAGTGGACCCACGTTGATCCAGAGCCCATTTGGTTTGAGGCTGTGTCGGATCGTCTCGATGTACCGAATAAGGTTTGGCGCCGTGTCAATAAAGAAAACAGTCGTTACTGCATCAAAATTCTCGTGGTTGTTCGGCTGGGTATACAACACGGTGAAATCCGCTGCGGACATGGACATAGTACCCAAGCGACGACCAGCATTGGCAGCCTCCTGCATGGCGAATCCGGGGTGCACGTCGGGGATCATAACTTGCTGGAGTTGCTGTGATCGGGATTGGAGATTGGAGAAGTGCAATGCGAAAGGATGAACGGCGTGCTTTGCCGGTCCCTCGGTGTGGTTCAGAACCCAGCTACTGGCCAGCAGCTGGTGGTAGGAGATCTCGTTTCCCTCGGCGTCATAGCCTGCCATACAGATTTCGAAAACTAAGCGGCCTAGGCCAGCGCCAGGGACCAGAACACGGATTTCCTCCCCGCTATCACGTCGTGTCTTGAACTCCTCGTCGAGAGCCTGGAGAACGGGGTCATAGCAGACTTCTCTCTCAGATCGTCCTTCGAGACTCCAATCACGATAAAACTGGCGTATAGTCGAGTGAGCTTTGTTGACATCTGATGAAGTCGCTATGTCATGCCAGTTTTTTGTAGGATCGGTCCTGTCAGGGTCTGCGGGAAGACTAAATGACTGGAGACCAAGCGCCAGAATTGCATCGGCAATATCGGCGTTAGTATCAATGGCATCATCCACCTTGTTGAAGTTGTCAAGAATGGAGAATGGAGGCTCCGAGAGCATCTGCCAGTGTGCCGAGGGCAGGGCGTAGAAAGCTTGCCGTCGACGGTGGGTAGTATTCATATGCGCAGTTCGCCGAAATTGTCTGCGGGTGGATTAGCCAAAACACATTGCGATTAACGATGGTTTCGATCTGACGCAGAAGCTACGAACCAAAAGGGCCATATATTGTAATCAGCTGTCTACCCACGTACCTGAATGAGTCAAATGCAGCAAATAACACCCTACGCTCTTCAGGATCATCGAAAGGGTTGAAGTCCCCTCCCCAACTGCTCTCCTCCTCCCTGGTCTGGGGCTTTTGATGTTCAGATGCCATATGGAGGTTGTCAGACTAGCTCCACGTTTAGCAGTGCTGCTAAATGCTACAGGGTCACGCGTCCTCTGAAAAATTGACTGCGACGAAGAAGGAGCAATTGTTAAAAAAGACAAAACGAGA